GACACAAAATATTGTCACAACATACATACATATATATATATATATATATATATATATATATATATATATATATATATATATATATATATATATATATATATATATATATATATATATATATTGGAAGCACTAATGGTACAGTGTTAGTATTTGAATAAACCAGGGGTCAACAACCATTGACCTCATGCCACATCCAAAGGGATTTTTTCTGGCCTGTCAACTGAACTTTAGTAAGGAATTTGCATTTTTTGTGTTTCTGTTGTTATCCTGTTATTCTTGTAGTAAAATAAGAAACCTTGTTTAAATAATATTAGATTAACTTTGTTGTTTTTTCTTTTGACTTCCAAATGAAGACAGTCTTTTGGATGGAGTGGTCCAAGGTTGAGACAATTTATTATAGTACATTTGATATCATGGCCCCACTTTGAGGCACAGACTAGCAGTCTGGCCCACTCACTCCAAAAGGTTGCCGACCCCTGGAATAAATGAATAAGTATGAAATAAGCTGCACAAATAGTTGAACAGAAACATTGAAATAAAGTAAGTTCTTATCTATGTGTGTGTTTTTTAAAACCTACAGTTTTAATCGATAACATTTAAATGTATACCCTTTAAAAATTTTGCGAAGTGTGCTGTGATATTTTCATTTGTCTTTAGGGGTGCCATTGCTTAAAAAGGTTGAGAAACACTGGTCTAAAATACTGTTTAAATTATAACACATGCTTAAATTTAATTTAATGTTTAAATTTAATAATGTCTAACAGCCTGGAAATTTTATGAGTCTTCAATGAAAAAAATATATTTCTTTTGGCAGGATTTTCTTTATTTAGGCCAGTCAAAGGCACAGGAAGAGGTGGAGAGCCATAATCTCCTACATCCTGAAGGGACACAGCACAATATACCATTTTAAAGAAAAACAGTCTTCTACTCAAACATGTGTATCCAGTAAATATAATGTATATTGTAAGAAGATATATATATATATATATATATATATATATATATATATATATAGATAGATAGATAGATAGATAGATAGATAGATAGATAGATAGATAAACATCTCTGCATATGTACAACTGCTGGCAATGTCCTAGCTAGTGCTGATTATCATGCTGAAAATAAAAGGTTGTGTGATCTAAAGCCGTAATAGGATGAAGCTATGGTGGAAAAACACATCCAGCCTCTTTGCTGATTCCACTTCTGTATCTTGGCAGAAAGGAGATGATCAAGAGTACAAGGGCAAGACGCACTGTGGGGTTATAACAACACAGGGTAACATCTCATTAGCACTTAATTCTCATGTAGTCCAAACAAATCTTCTTTCTCTTCTCTCTCTTTCTTCTATTTTCTTGAACAGATGTAATTAGGGTCTACAGTTTTGTTAAGTGGATCATTTTGAAAACATAAAAACACTTATTACGAATACATTTAAGTAAAAAATAATAAATAAAAACGAACACATGCAGAGGATCACAGAATGATTTAACATAAATGAAATCCATTTGCTTATAAATGTATGTTTATTTACTAGGTTGGCCAGAAAGTCCTGACTCACTTAGGAAGCGGAAAGAAAACAACAAGATTTTATGGAGCAGCACCAACATTTATTCTTCAAAATTAATTCCATCATTCTCAATGATCTTCAGCCAGCGATCAGACAGCATCCGAATCTGTCCCAGATACCAGTCTGCTGGCATTGAACCAAAAAACTGTAAACAAGCTTCCTTCACATCATCAAAAGTCACTGGTCATGGAGAAAGTGTTCCATAGAGTGGAATAGGCTATAGTCACTTAGAGCAGCATTGGGAATTAATAGTGGATGTGGAAGAATCTCAACTATGTCCATCTGTTTGAACTTCTTAGTCAACCTGGCAGTGTACGGCCTCACATTGCCTTGTTGAAACAAAGTCCAACCTCGAGTGAGCAAAACAGGATACCCCTTTTTTATTTTGTCATACACATGGCTTACCTGCTGACAATGCAGTATAGCATTGATAGTGTGACTGTGTGGAACAGAATTGGAAATCCCACCAGACAGAGAAGATTTGTTGTTATGTTTCCGCTTTCTAAGTGAGTCAAGAATTTCTGGCCAATCCAGTACTGCTCTCTTTGAAAATACCTGCACATAGATGATTATGACTCTCCACAGCTTCCTTTTCTTTTAATATCTGTAAACTGTGTATTGCTATGACTAGTCTTAAAAGGGGCTTAGGAGCCTTAGCAAAAGTTGACAAACTGCTATAAGTTTATAATATTAGGAAAATTAATGACAAAGTGGAAAAAAAATTGTGATGTGTTTTATCCTTTAGAACAAATTAAAGTAATGTTTAAGTTGATGTAACTATGCATGTACACAAAGGCATGAGTATGCTGAAATTTTATACATTTTAAATTTTTTAAATATGTGCTTGAGTATGTAATCTAGTTTAGATTCTTTTAATTTTTGCTTATTTTTTATCACACATATGGATAATATATGTCAAGAAAGGTGTAAAAACATGGATGCACATTTACTATAGATAATCTGGCAATTAAATTACTTTCTATATCCTTTTCTCTTAGTAAATTACTTTCTCACTAAATTCAAGTGGCATTTTTTAAATCAAAATTATGGTCAAACTCACAATAATGAACAATTAATTTACTGTGTTTTATAAAAGATCCCTTTTGTGTTCATAGCTTTTATATAAATTCCTCAGACTTTCCTCTGTGTATTTTTTGTGGCAACTATTACAGGTGATAGAATTCCTCCTTTGGGTTTTAGCATGTTATTATTTAGTTTTGTACTAAGTCTTTTATTGTTTTAGAAGTCGGTATAATAAATCTCATATTAAGCTTAGATAAATCCATTTCAATTATAGTTGTGAAATAGTTGGTAGGTAAAATAATATATTTTAATTCATTGGTTTTGTCAGAATGGTTTATTCTTCTATTCTGAAATAATTTATGCAAAACCAAAGGCTTTGTCTTCCCACTATCACACATGAAATTCTACCAAAAACTTTGTACAGTTTGTTTATGTAGGAAAATAACTTAATCTAAAATTTGATGCCACTGTCTCTTTTAAAGAAGTTCCCTTGGGCATGTCTTGACAATTCACACAAAGGAAATCAGTAATTGTCTATACTACATTTAGTTTGAATATGGTTTTATATTCTGCTAAATTCTGGGTTACATACACAAGAGTGCAATGGATAAATGATTGTCTAAATTACACAAAAAGGAAAATAACACTGACATCTCATTTTAACAGATATATTTACAAAAATTACACAAAAACATCTGGAAATGGAAAAAGATTAAATTTATTCAAACATGGCCTCCAGAAGACTTAAGAATCTCCTGCAACTCTTCAGCACAGTCTCCTTGTTTAAGTTGGTGGATGCTGCCATAATCTTTGCCTTCAGTTCATCTTTGGTGTTAAAAGGAATTTTATTGGTCTCTCACTCAACTGTGCCCCACACAATAAAGAAGTTGCAATCTGGGGAGTTATTTGGTCAGATGTAAGGGGTGATGTGGTCACATAAATTGTCTGGCAGCTATGACTGGGTTCTTCTAGCATGGTGCAGAGTGTTGTTGTCTGACATAGGGTCATCCAGCAGCCACCCTCTTGACCCAGAGCATCACTACCTCCTCAAGACACTTGATGTAAGCCTCCATGTTAAGCCTGAAGCCCTCACCAACAAAGTCAGGAGTTCTTTTTTATCAGAAAAGAGTGAGTTTTCTGAGCTGCCCTACTTTCGTAACCACCATTAGACGCCCCCAATTCTCCTCAGACTGACACCCAAATACTCTGAAATATTTGTATTGGGGCTTCTGGCACAAATGCCAAGCAGTACAGCATGTCGTTTCCAAATTTCTGGTGGAGTGAATGCTCTTTTCCTCACAGACAGTGCTCAAATAACCCTACCACTGTACCATTGACAAAATAAAAAACAATGTGCATACATGAAATGAAAAATATAAAATGGTGACAATTTACCCATCTCACCCAAATATAATATATATATACACACACACACACACACACACACACACACACACACACACACACACACACACAGACACATAGACACACAGATATATAAATTGAAACAGAGCCAGATGTATTTCTGTCTGAATTTTGGGGACGAGGTGTTTTTCTTTATTTATTACACTTTTTACATGAAGACTATTGTTCTCATCTTTGTTGTTGTTATCATGAAGTTTCGATCATTGGGCTTTCCAGCCTTCATCAGGTGGATCTTGATGTAGGCAACTTATAAATAATTTGGAACTGAACCCTTTATTTAATTTATGGGAGTTATTTTCTTCTCATTCCACTGCCTATGTCGTGGTATATCTTGTCTAGTTCTTTATTTAATGCTATTCAGTTCTAGTTTGCTCCATTATCAATGTGTCAAAGGGATTGAACTCATAATTCCAATGTCACCAAATTTATGAACCAAGTCATTAGGTTATTGCCCCATGGGACAATTCTGTATGAAGAATTTGGAACCCTAAACCTAACCTGCCTCAGTATTTTCATCCATTTTTTTCACCCAATACAAGGCCCACGTGCCACTCAAGCTAGAGGGCTATTGAATGATGTGCATGATATGATTGTGAGAGGAGGAAGTGAAGATTATGACGATATGGGGGATAGATAACAATTGACTCTAGATTAATTAAGGTTAAGATTAAAGTGTATCCTTGTGGGTGTCTCTTCCACAAAGTGTAAGTTCTTAGGAATTCATTACATTGATTTGATTTTACAGATTATCAACCCTTTGCAGAAAATATTTTTAGATTATAAGAATTTGTGGGGGGGGATAATAATTATTTTTATTTATACAAGCTTACTAATTAACCCATAACTGGGGGAGAAGAGCTGAACTTATACCTTTCCCAACAACATTTGAACATAAGTGAATATAACAAACCCAACTGGAATTGGAACTTGGCTCTCTTATTTTCAACTCCAAGCCATTATCCATTACACCATCCTTGCATCCAAGCTTACAACACCTAGTGCTTCCAAGTGGTCACCTATCTAGGTACTGACCAGGCTCAATGTTGCTTAACTTTGGTGATCATACACAAACTGGTGTTTCAATATGATATGGTCATAAGGCAGTAGTATTTGGGAAGAAGCTTTCTGAAAACACCATTCTTGCTAATGGATTGTGTAGGAAATGTGGGTGATTCAATCCTGTGGATGTAACAAGGTGGGTCTTGGTTTCAATGGTCTGAGCTGGTGGGACAGCCTTACTAATATGTTTTTGGGAGTGCTTAGCAATGTGTAGATTCTTGTAATCACTTTGAGTCTATGTTTTTATTTGTTTTTATCCTAAAACATCTTGTGCTTCTAATTCAAGTTTATGCTTTAGTCTACCAGTAAATATCTACGGTAATGCAAAGTTTACACAATGTTACTCCAATTACATAATTTAGTCATTGTTTAATCAGTTTTCTTACTACTTTTGCCTCTTCAATTATGCATCGAATTGGGAGAAGTTTATGAAAAAGTGGATTTGAAACTGGTGTAACAGATACTAGTGTAGAAATTGGAATCAGTGAGACAAGTTCAAGTCCTAGGCTAGTTTTGCTGCATTCACTTTCATACTAAAGTTCTTGGGAAAGGCATAAATCCATCTCTCTTACCCATTACCGTATTTTGAATGAAAATTAAAGGACAAAGAGAGGGGTGTCATATTATGCGTATGTATACATTTTCATGGATAGGAGGCATGAAGGTGTAATGGATAATGGCTCGGATTGTGGAATTGGAGAACTGAGTTCGAATTCCAGTCAAATCCATTACATTCACTTAAGTGATAATACTGTTGGGAAAGGTATGAATCCTCTTCTTCTCCACCCCCACCAGCTATGGGTGAATAGTGTTACAGTTTTTTGGATATATCTGTGTACTAGTGAGCTAGCCAAAATGAGCTGACTCATTTTATAGTCCACCAAGAGAAGGGTTAACCAATCAGAAAGCTCAAAATATTCAATCCGACATGTATAAAGGCAGCCATTTTGTTTTTTCTCCCAAATTATCTTCACTGCCAACCTGATATCGAAGACTTCAAGAATTAACAGCCGCTACTTTCTCCAAATCTACACTGCCAACCTCTGATATTGAAGAGATTACGGACTTCACTGGATTCCATATTCCGAGACTACGGCAAACATGGTCAACAAATAGTAGGACAGACTGGGTTCTATAAACTTGGATGGCGACTGGCCTACTGCAGAAAGAAATGGCAACCTACTGCGGGAAAAAAATCTGCCTCGTTAGTCATGTATAGAAAGTTACATGATCACCTAAGCATGTATCGCACATGGCAAATAACCGACTGACACAGTTTCAGAAAGTTTTACACAGCTTAAAAATCTTATTTGAAACAGCCAGATTGCAAATACACTCAGTTAACAGAATAGATAATAAAATATAAAGTAGGCAGGTGATGATAACAATTGTTTACAAAATGTATTTGATATGTCTGGGCAATATTTGTTCTTTGGGAATCAGTTTAATTGGTTATTTGTCTCAGTTTTGCTCACAAGATAAAGTTTGTATATATATATATATATATATATATATATATATTATATATATATATATATTTGGTTGGATAGATGTGAGTTTGTGACCCTGGGTTTCACGCTTTAGCGATCGTCAGACAAACTGATTAATGTTTTAAAAAATTTGGGTTTATGTAGATTGCGTGTATTGGTGTTATTGTGGAAGTGGTGGGGGAAATTTCGTCGTTTTGTCATTCATCGTACTAACGCAAAACATTGATGTATGCAGACACATATACATACTTGGTCGTCCGTCGGGACTCATATATATAACATATAAATAATTATACATATATATATTTATTTATATTTATATACACTTTTCACATATATATATATATATATATATATATATATATATATATATATATATATTTTGAACAATAAAAAATATTAAAAAATTGAAATCTTCAGACACACTGGGTTGTAGATTAATATTCTTTCGGTTTTTTTTTGTTATTATTTCCTTTAGATTCCTCGATTAGTTTCGGCCAAAATGGCCATCATCGGGAGAAGAAATATTTCTGCTTGCTGGTAGCAGTAAACTACAGAAATGAATATATATATATATTTTGTATATATATATATAAAGTTATAATTTGATTTTTGTTTTTTATAAAGTTTTCTCTCTTCTTTCTTATTGACATACAATAATTTTTTTTTATATTTTGATAGTTTATTAATATATAGAAATATAATAAAGTCATATCAAACAGAAAAGTATTAATAAACACCTGAAAATATATTACCAGGTATGTCTAGTTATCACCTTTTCCCCAAAATTTAAAGTTTTAAAACAGAAATGAGAAGAAACAAGCACATGGCTAAACATCCAGTTTATTTCTATTCTTTAATATAATAAAAAATGAAATATTTTGTTGAAATATCTGTATGACATTGAGATTTTAATGGATAATATGGTAAAACTTTTTTAAAATATTAAATATGAATGGCTGTACTATGGTATTGTATTATACTCATTATGTAATTTATTCCCTAATAATAGCTTCAGAAACATGTTTTTTTTTATTATACTCATCATATTAGATAGATGAAAATATGGTAGCTACTGCTTAAACAGCAGGGTAGACTGAGCTTTATAGCCTTGTGTGGCAAACAGTTGAAGAAAAGGAAAACTTATGGAGAAAGCAACACTAAAACTCTTCACTATTCCAAGAAAGTCTTTTACAGATAATAAAGAAAAGATCTCCAGGAGCATCAAGATCAACTATACCCAGACAAGGGAATGACAGCACTGAATCCAAAACCATATAGAAGGCAATGGTAAACCATTTCACTGTCCCTTAAAAACATGGCAATTCTGCAGCTACAAAAGAAAAAAGAGCAGACCTACAAAGCTAGAACATACCCTGCTACATACACATTCTTATTCCCTTCATATTTCAATTCAGCTTCTTCCTCAGAACTGCTGTAATGTGGAATAGATCCCTAAGAGGATGCTTCCCTGATCACTATAATCACAACCTCTTCAAGTCTAGGGTCAACTATTACCTATTATATATATCATCATAATATGCTACACCCCTACAACATCCCTATCCAGTAAACCTCGACCTTGTGTGGCACTTCGGTCTTGTATTTGGTGAATAATAGACAAAAAGAATTTTTTTTTAAATCTGTAAATAGTCATGAATTCTGAAAGGACATGGCACTAAAAATATATGAAAGAAGTAACCTTTGGCAGCATGTAGGACAAAGGGTAACTTTTCTAAACTTATTTCAGGGTGGAAAAAAATAGTGTCATCAAAGCTGGGGACGAATGTAAGTAAAAAAATGTAGGTAATAAATCATAGGTAATATGACACAACTTTGCCTGCCATGCCACTTCTAACGAACACTTTCTTTTCAGTACTCTGTGACATTTTTGACAAAGTTTTCTCATACTTGAGGAACTCTTGCTTCAAGCTGGGTGAGGATGTGGTGGGAAGTGGCATAGTTTATGTTCTCTGTTATTACCAATACTTGACAAGTATGTCTTTCATTCTATCTCTATCTCTATTTTCTCTGAGAGTGTCAAACTATAAGTATTATTCAGGTGCAGGAATTGGAAATAAAACAGGCCACCAGCAAGAATTGAACTCATATCCTTTTCCACTGAAAACCTGTGTCACGTTAATTAATCCATGAAAGTTAATTGGTTACAGTGATTAAATTTATCTGTATTTCTTTTATTCTTCATTTACTCTGGGCAAAAGGCTATATCACAGTGAATCACCATTTCCTGTACAGTCATGGAAGTTAAGCAATGTTAAGTCTGGTCAGTATGTAGATGGCTGACTGCTTGGGAATTCCAAGTGCTGTAAGCTTGGATATATGGGTGGTGTAATGGATAATGGCTTGAAACTTTTAATTGGACAGTGGAGTTCCAATTCCCTTACATGCAAATATGGAAGTTAAGCAATGTTGAGTCTGGTCATTATCTAGTTGGCTGCCTGCTTGGGAATACCAGGTGCTGTAAGATTGAATATATGGATGTTGTAATGGCTAATGGCTTGGAATTTTTAATTGAACAATGGAGTTCCAATTCTCTTACATGCAAATATCCTTGGAGAAAGGCATGAATCCACCTCTTCTCTCCATTCCAGGAATGTGTTAATTAGTAAGACTTTTATCATTAAATCATTACTATCTACAAAAAAAATATTTTCTGGCTTTAAATAACCTGAAAATGTTTGATAAGACAGAAAATGAATCAACCATCTAAACAAAAATCATTTTCTTTGAATACTTGATACACTGTCATCTTCTTTCCCATACACTAGTCATATTATTTGTAATTTCTTTTATAAGACAAGAGATAATAATAATAATAATAATAATAATAATAATAATAATAATAATAATAAAGCAAGCTTCTCACTTGCTACCATATGCATCATCCAAAAGCTGATGTTGATTGTCTGTATATGCCCAGATCCAAAGGAGGTAGAGGATTAGTTCAACTAGAACTGTTCTCCAAAACTACAACAATTGGCCTTCAAAGATACCTGGAAACTACAGAAGACTAGACTATGATATGTGTCAAAGAACATGAGAGTAGTAAGTGTCTTTATTCCGTAAAAAAGGAAGCCAACAAGTTCTAAATGAAATTTTGGGACTGGCATGAATAAGAAGAATATTTTTAATACAATAAAGATATTTATTTACATGAAATACAGTGGTTAAAACATAAACACTGTGTCGTTTCCTATATACAGAGAATATGTTGGGTGGACTTATCCGTCTGGTGAGTGAACTAGAGCTAGGTAGCTCATACCCGTAAAACCCTCGGCAACTGGTACCATTGGCAGTGAAGAGAATTTCTTCTGTGTTACCTTGGAGCAAGTCTGTTCCCTTCTCTCCTTTTCGTGGTCAGCCTTTTTTGAACCCACATGGTTTTATTAACTGATGAGAGACCGACTAACAATATGTGACCAATCTCTCTATATACAGGAGCAGACAAATTTTACAAACCCAATGTGGTGTCAATGTAAAAACCATACTTTTGATACTCCATTTTTTTGTTGGTATACAAATAACTCT